TGGTATATACATAATATTAACATAGAATACAACATGTAAGTCTTCTTCTTAGGATTTCAGAACTTAGTCGTAGTTACTACCTTCATTAAAGTTATGAAATTCTCAAGGAAGCATGATAAGATTGAGGAAACCGTTGGCAATTTGCGATATACAATTCGATATGTTATCGTCCGTTAAAAATTTCTTTTATGATTGGCTATGTTATTTGTATGTAACTAACAGACATATTTTTAAATTATACGTTCTTTGATTCTTGTGTGATTTTAAAGTTTCTTTTTAAAATGCAAGCTGGATAGATGATAGAATCATGAAACTTTTATACATTTAGGCAAAGGATTTAACTGTTTATACAAGAAATCTAATTGACAGTGTTTTCTTAAGAACTACTGCTATTTAAATGGAAAAATACCGTATAAAACCTTCATTAATTATTGTTAAACATCAAATACAAGTCTTTCTTGCTGTAAAAATATATAGCAGAGATTATAGTGTTGTCGAACGAAATTTAAAGGAAGCACGGTTTTTAGTTCTTTTAAAGTGTTTCCAGATCTATTAATACTTATGCTGATCTTAAGTTATTCTGAAACAACGTTCCTTGGTCTATTTTAGATCTTTGTATTCATTGAATTGTTGACTTTTAACAAACATTAAATCAAGAATAAATAATAGATTCAATCTTTAAAAAGCTAGTTATTTTAAACGCATTTGTTGCTTAATATTCTTTTCACTATGTAATATCCAACATTTCTACCTTTTCGGCTTAATTTGACTGCCTTTTTGTCGGTATGAGAACGATTATTGCAAGATAGATTTGTATCGTGCAATTTGTTCCATATTACATACATATTAGACGAATTCACTTTGTGTGCTGTTATAACGTTTCTTAATATGCAAGGATCTAATTTCCTTGGAATATAACTAAAACCAAGATGATTTACAGGCCGGACTTTTGCGCGTTTCGCACAAAGACCTGTAATGTAAACATCTTCTAAATGGAGTAATGGCATCGTTAATGCTGCTTGGTACAATTTAAATGCAACATCTAGACTCATTACATATCCTGTACCCGACAAATAATTAGGATATATTTTTTCTGAATACATATATTTTGGCGTGTACCTAAGAAATAAATTGATATAAATTTTTAAAACAGATTACATAATTTACAAGCATACTGTAGTTATTTGCTACTTACCATTTGTTGTTGGGGTCTAGAATGGGTTTTGCATTGCAAATAAGAGATCCCAATAATGTATCAGTAGATTGTGGTCTGGATTGTAATGTTTTCATTAACATAGGAATATTTACAAACATGTCATCATCAGTTTTCATAAGATATTTAGCTTGTTTACAATTAAATGTTACCCATTTCAGCATCATAACAGATTTTAATGTTAAGTTATTGTATGTATCATAAAATCTTTCTTGAATAATGTCATTATATTGTTGATTTTCATCAGCGATTATATTCTGTAAATTGGTACTGTTGTCACATTTCTTTTTAAAGCTTGACATTTGAAATATTCTTAAGACATATCGATACATACATTTAGAGTGTCATTGTCACTTTGTCCTAAAAGAAAAGCTACTTTTACCGTTGAATTATATATAGTTTCTAAAATGGTCTTATTAGCCCATGTATTCCGTATAGCTGCTCTGGCATTATGATTTGTAACAGCAGAACAAACAACTATTAGTAAATATGGTGGCGGAGAACAAATGTTAATAGGATTTAGAACTGAAGTTGTATTCTCTGGATGAATATATGCACACAGATCTCTTGAAGTATTATATGTCCATCCTTGCAGCTGTGCTGTAAAAAAGTTTGTTTAAAATTTGATTCTTTTTTTGGAGATAGATTTATTCATATCCTATCTTTCCCTCAGCTTTTTCTAACATGCTAGAAAATGACCCATTCAATTTTAGCAATATTCAAGCACTCTACAGTAAAAAGGCAAGAGAAGAAAATTCAAATAATTTCTACTACCTCTTGTTTCTCTAATTTCATTTGTATTTGAATATAAGAATCTATATTTATTTCTATAGCAATAATATTTGTTTATAAATTTTTTATAGTCTACATAGTCTTATAAATGTTCTTATAAACTATATCTATAGATTTGTCGATTAATTGATAATCGATCATCAGAAAAGTGACAGTGAAAACATAGTCAAGGATCAAGACTGGTTAGTTTTTATTGTAACAGGATTTCAAGCAATGTTAGTGAATGCATACCCAGGGATGCTACTGAATGCGTATCACCAACAGACTCTGCGGGGGATGGAGTCTCACCTAAGCCTGAGAATGGGCTTTGGGCAGAATGATATGCTGGTACATATAATAAACCTAATGTAGCCAAAATGACAAATCCTACTGCTAATCTCCGGACAAACGATGTCTTCCCTTTAACTACTCCATTATTGTTTATATTAGTGGCTGATGGTAATTCCAATGGCAACAGTCGCAATCTGTCCATCTAAGCAGAAACATTACAAATTATTAATATTAAACTAATACAAATGACATAATTCAATTTTATATCTTATAAAACTGTCTTATAAAACTTTATATTATCAGAGACTTTTATCTGTATTAGATAACGTTATCAAACCATAAATCTCTTATCTTGGCAATAAATGATGGCAATAAATCAAACTGTGTTTATAAGTTGAAGAATTATGGAGAAGTATAGAGAACAATGGAGAAGCAGAAACAGTACAACAAACAGTCTCTATACTGGAATTACTTTTCCAATGTTTAGCACGCATCATATTTAACTTCATCAGAAAATCAAAGATACACTGATAATAGTGTGTACCTGGTGGCATTCTACTTAATATAGTGGAGCCTGTTCAAATTCTGTTTCATTGCTTAGCAATCAAAACATCTTTTTAATTGGTCAGCTGAACAAATACAATGCTTGCAAAACATTAGGAAAATAGCGCTACTAGGATACGATTTATACCTGAAAGCATCGACAATAATAACTATATAATGCTAGGCTATCGAAGCCTCAAATCTCTTATCACTACAAACACATTTAATTCTAAAGCAGATGTATTAGAAATTCTCAGAATATAAATATAGAATTTAACACTGTTTATAATATTGTTTTTGTATGACAGTATTATTTACTATGTTAAAAAGAAACGATTTGCTTTTCTAAGTAATATAGAACTTAACGTATAATGGAAATTCAATATAAATACTGTTAAATACAATCACTAAGTGAAGTATGCTGTAAACAATTTTACCTTTGAGATGAGATGATTGCGTCTCGCTGCATTTGGCAGCACTTCATTTACTCTTCCGTCGTATGTTCCAACTTACGATTCGTGGAATGGTATCGTGTAATTTTGACAATACATTTTTATAATCGAGAAGTTAAAAAAAAATAAAGGAGTTCGTGTTGCAACGAACCCAAATGTACCGCAGTGACTCGTGCAGTCACTGACAGTCACTGAGTCACTGGACTTGACTGGACTGGCGCTACTGATTCTATATCTGCGTTCTTCTGTCAGTTCTGACGCTATTAGCGCCTTTCGTAGAGATGAAATGTAGTGACGTAAGTACGTAGATACATATACGTCATTTACCGATAAAACTTTACTCTCTAAATTCAGCGTTATCAATCACTGCATGTAATCAGTAATATACGTATTAACGATGTAAAACGGTAAGAAAATTGCTGAATGCTTCAATGAAACATTGAGTCTGATTGTATAAATTAAGCTTTATATATATATACTATATATATATTATTTCAAAATTTGCCGCCCTTTGAAGAAGAAATTTGGATAACTTACGTTATTATTAAAATACAATAAATATTTTCTCCGTAACGGCGAAGAAGATCCCTACCATAACTGCCAAAATTTTATTCTCACCACTGGGATGCTAGAGAAAAGGTTTAAATTTTTTTCACTTCTAATTCCTTTTTATGAAACGATATTATTGGAATTTAATGTAAGTACATATGTACATAAATTTGGCTTGGGACAGTAGGAAACGAAATCATGCACTACGCTCATGATCTTTATGCAATATATGAGTTTTGTTTTATTATTTAGTACGATTACATAATATTAAAATCCGCGAATATAATAAATATGTACATAAATAATTCATCAATAAATTTCTATGTTTTGTAAAATATGACAAGTGACAGTTCCATCTATGCTACACTATTTCATGACGAAAACTGTAGCCGTACGCGCACGTTCGGTGATCATCTCATTCAAATATCTGCCTTTTAATCCAATAATATGTTACTTTTATCGCATTCTAATTTGTTTTATTAAAGCACATTTAGAGTAGAGACTGTTTTGGCACGATTTATTGATTTACTGGCACGATTTCGGTCTAACACTCAAGAAGATGAATTTTTTAACAATTCAAATATGACTCGGATTAAATGGTAAGATGACAACCCTTTGCTTGGGGTTGAAGCAAAAATTCATACCATAAAATAATATATCGAACAAAGTATGTAATCGATATTTGTTTATTTTCATGTTATATTTATTCCTCGCACACTATATGATAATACATAATATTATTCACAATATGTATGTTCACGTGCGATAGCGGTTACGTTTTCTAGAAGTTCTCAACAGTGCCGATTAGCGCTAAAAAGTTGAACTAATTTGGATGTTGGTATGATCACGTGTTATTGTATCTACAGATTACAGATTTCTATAATTCCGGTATGTGCACGATAGATGTCTAGAGAAAACGATTTTACGCCATGCATAACAGTAGTTGTCAAGAAAGAACGTGTCTTTTTATGATTTTGATTTGTTGAAATTGATTATTGTAATCTACAATTGTGGAATTATTATTGACGATTGCGATCACTTATAAAGCAAGTGTTATACAACTTTACCGTTGATAGATTACGTTAAGGACGATAAAAAAGAAGCGAAGAATGGTTAGGATTTGTGAAGAGGATTTGTTGATCTGACAGCTTTAAATTGAGTTATTTACGTGTGAAATTCTTACAATGTTTACTTGAATTTCCATCATTCACAAATGAATGTATTTGGTAAAGAGAAGTAAATCAACGTTAGCAATTAATCGTCAATCATGATTAAGGCTATTTTAGTGTTCAATAACCATGGGAAACCACGTCTCTCCAAATTTTATCAATATTTCGTAAGTACTATTGCACGGGGTTTTGATCGTTGTAGTAGATCTTTGGTTGTTGAAATATTTTTGCTTTCTTCAGAATGAGGACATGCAGCAACAGATAATAAAGGAGACATTTCAGTTAGTTTCTAAAAGAGATGACAATGTTTGTAACTTTCTGGAAGGTGGAAGCTTAATTGGTGGATCTGATTATAAGTTGATCTATCGGCATTACGCGACATTATATTTTGTATTCTGTGTCGATAGTTCGGAATCAGAGTTGGGAATTTTAGATTTGATACAAGTTTTTGTAGAGACATTGGACAAATGTTTTGAGAATGTATGCGAGCTGGATCTAATTTTTCATGTAGACAAGGTTCATTATATATTGAATGAACTGGTGATGGGTGGAATGGTTCTAGAAACTAATATGACTGAGATACTTTCAAGGATTGACGATCAAAACAAATTGGAAAAACAAGAGGTACGTAGTTCTTTTATATCCGATATTCGAAAGATGGACACTTGTTTGAATGCTCAAGCTTTACTTGTATAGTTTATGAGTATTCAAGAATAATCGATTTTATACATAAAATAGCAGTGCACTGTGATCAAATTTAACTTGAGCTAGTCATACTTGTGATAACTAATTTTTATAAACATCCCTTAACTTTTTGGGCCCGACTCAATATCAATTGCATATACAATAAATCATGAATGGAATAATGTATAAAGTTCATCGAGCATAATTGTTTGGGCTTGAAGAAGTTAACAGCCTATAGCAGTTTATTTGTTAGCTGTGCATGCATTGGAATGTTTCGTAGAGCAGTTTCATATGGTGGTAGGACTGATTTACCTAACATGAATTTTAGGGAACTTACAAATCAGGACGATCTTGCTCACCTCGTCCGTTTGTCCTTCTGGGGCCCCCTCCCTAAGTAAATCGGCAGTAAAAAAATCAGACCATTTTGTACACTCTCATTCCTTTATATATAGTTTATCTGTGATCTCTCTTTTTCTCTTTTTTTACCAAGAATTTCTGAACATGAGTCTTTCGTAGCTTTACAAAACAAATACTCATAACACGCATGGTGGTGCTATTGTTTGTAAATGTCTGCTCGGATAACAGTGCCTTAATGCAAATGTATACGTCGCTATGCTCGAAGAATAAAATATGTACTGCGTAGCTACTCATTTGTCTTTACTTCTACTATTTAAATTAAGCTCAAGTCATTCCTTAAAGTATTTCCGTTTTCCATTTTTTCCATCCATCTGGTATGTGCAGGCAGGAATCACAGCAGCGCCGGCGCGTGCTGTTTCTGCTGTCAAGAATATGAATATACCACAGCAGATAAAGGATATGAAGTTGCCTGACTTGCCACAGGCTATAAAAGATCTCAAATTCTGACCAGCCGTTACTTCGTTGGCTCCGAGCTGACTGGTTTCTACTACGATTTCGAGTACGAGTGATACCACGACAAGGGTTTTCTTTCCTTCCCTACAATCGAACGAAAATGCACCAATACTGCCTACAGACTCTCCATATGTTTCTTCTCAGCAGTACCAGAATTAAAGAACGAAGATCGGTTTATCTCAGAAGGCCCTCAAAAATCGTTTTCTGACTGTGAAGAGGACATTTCTTATGAAATTTCAAAAAATATTTATACCTGACTTTAATACAGAAGAGTTGGAGTAACTGAATTAGAATTTTCAAGATATAAAATGAAAAGGTAAAGATTTACAAATCTAGAAATTACTGATGTTATGTTTAAAAAGGTTACATCATTCCTGTACATTACTAAAAGGAAAAGAAGTATATTTCCATTATAGTGTAATCCATGAAAATGCATTTTCTTTGCTGAAGCAGTATCTTTAACATTATCTTGTTTATGAACATCTTCCCATTTCAATGATTGAGAAATGTTAGATATCAATGTTGTATTGTATCAAAAAACATATTAAATAAATATTATAATACTGCATTATAATTTTTATTTTTCAAGGATTCACGAGAATTATTTAACTAACAACTTTACGATGATAGAGAATTATATAATAAAACATTATTTTCTAGATATAGCAATTTCATTCCTAAGTGTTGTCCATACGTATCCAGTGCCTCTTTCTGTGAGTGGTGGTGGATACGGTGAATTTTTTAGTTTATAGTAATCTGAAGGTGCATGCATCACAAATTCCATGCATTCCAATTTTCGTGGAAGGTCTTCTTCTGGACCTATAATGTATGTTTCAGGACTGAATCCTTCATCTGGTGGTGGGCTAAATACATAATACATACATATTATTTTTTCTTTCCTTCTAATAGTAATTAACTAATTAGAGTAAATATACAGGGTAAAACTTCATGTATATATTCATCCTGTATATAATGCTATACCTTGCCGTAGTAGGCAGAAGCCAAGTAACAGCAGCACTTTTTTCGCAGTACTGATCAGTGAGCAAGCCACGAATTTGGGCATAATAGATTCCTCCATCAATATCTTGCATAGAGACTATATCACCCACTTGAAAATAAGTGCCTTTATAAAATACATAATTACTTGTAACTGGAGTTGCTGTGGCTGTTGGTGCTTTAACCGGCTAAGAGAAAGAAAATTAAGAAACAAGGTAGAATGTAGCCACTTTTCAATGATTAACAATTCTTGATATGCGTACAGTTTTCTTGAATAAATTTCTTCGTCCTTTCCCCTTAGGTACCACTTTGTGCGGCCCAGCAGATTTTGAGTTACAATATCTTGTGATCCTTGTACTTCTCCTGGTAGGTCTCAACGATCCTCCTTTGTCTTCGTCCTCGATTTTCGTAGTTGTACCCGCCTCAGAATTTCTTTCCTCTTCAAGGCAAGCATTGCAAAGGTTACCGGCTTCGGTAGAGTGCCAAAGCGGGGTTTCCCGAGTCCCACACTTAACACACTCAGGTTTGCTGCCGAGAGGCATTGAGTTCTAATTAATTAGATCTCATTAATTATTCATTCACCGATGGTCAACCAACGAACGTTTCTTTCAATCTGCACCGCGATCTCTTGGTTGGTTCAGTCTCACTCGATTTCATTCTGATTCGAAATCTAATAATACTAAATAAACGTTAACAGTTTTCGTGTACATACGTGAATTTCATAAAGGAAAGGGCTATCGAAACGTTCGGATAAATCTTATAAACATTCTTCACGTTTGTTGTGGTATTTATGTGGAGAACAGGCGATTGTATACAAGTTAGTTACACGCTTGAGCAGTGCGTCCAAAGTATAAAATCCCTAGCATTCGTAACACAAATACAACTCACACGAACACGCATTTTTGGATAATTGTGCGGTAAAATGAATGAATCCGTGTGTCGGTGATATAACATTTATTTTTGGTGACATAAATAATAACGTATGGTATGCGAAAACAATTTATTTTTATTAAAATCTGATCGATTGGTCTTTCACACAGTGACATAATAGTGTACTAAATTCATTAGTATCCGATTTGAATCTTTTTATAGAAATGTACATTTTTCTTTATTGCTATTTATTTACTGTATAAAGAGGATGAAAGTACGACGTTACGTAAATCTGTAGTAAAATTGTTTTAAATTTTAAGAAATACACATTTGTTTGGGTACAACTACAAAGAGTGATGAACCATGAGAGTGTGTAAACAGATTTATCAACATTTTCCTTCTATTGACTTGCCTCTAATCGTTTAATCTCTTTCGAAATTTCGGCTTTCCTCGCTAACTTATCAAGTATTTCTTTTTCCAGATTTTTCAGTAAACCTATCTTAATCTTCTCTTCTAATGTTTCAATTTCTCTGATCTTCTTCCTTAAATTTTTTAGTCTTTTCTGTGGGTCCGGTATTGCAGTCTCAGATTGATTAGTAACATTTGGTTTCGGTGTTGAGATTTGATTATTTGGTAATGGTTTAGCATTGGTCTGTTTGTTGTTTTGGTGCAGTTCTTTCTTCTGTTCTGGCTCAGTGATCGTGGTTTTAGCCAATTCTTCCGTTATGTGTTCAGCAGTTTTATTTTTATTCTTTTTCTTCTTCTTCTTAGTTTCTGTTTTCGCCGCAGCACCAGGAATTGTCTTTGCCTTGGCTGCCAGCAGCATTTCTTTCTTAGCTTTGTGCTCAGCTATGAATTCTGGGCTTGCACCTACTGGGTATAAGGGTTTATTTTTTATTTGCTTTCCTTTGCTTTCATATCTGAAAAGACAATGATGAGGATGCGGTATAGAAATCAAACAGTGTAAGTACGCTTGTTTGACAAATCATCACATACAATGGAACTTCTTCTTGTGGAATATAGCCATCTTTCACACGTCGTGGCTTGCGCCAAGTACCATCTGGACGTTGACTGGCAGGGATGAACGTTCCACCTGTGTGATAATGTATGCGATAAGAAAACATAAATTTGATGAATCAAAATGGAACCACGGTATAAATATTACTGTTAGAAAAGTCCCATCAAGTTACATCAAACGAAACATTTATTTGATATCACATGAATTTTTCGATAATTCATTATGGTATAGAACAGAATAAGTATCAGAATGCGGCTTACATTTTGAGCAATGTAGGTTGTTTACATCCTACAGGTTATAAATAGTTTATTCGTCGAGAGAACCGAGATTTTTTAACAGAGCGAAAAATACGATTTTTACCTTGCTCATTTTTAACGTAAGCCGACGCCATCGTTATTCGATACGATCGTTCGCCGTGAATATTTTTTTATTATATTTCTTGATAATTTTTACTATCCGCGTGCCATTTTGCGATCACGAGGACCTCAACCTTTCGTATGATCAAGCTTCCTAGATCAATGAATCAAAATTCTTCTTGTATTCACTGTAAGATGTCGCTAATTTATTATTATTGTAGCATATGTACGCCAGATTATTGTTTGAGAACAGACTAATGTATGTACAATATTCTATATGTAGTTATGCCACAGACGAGGTATAGGAGTAGACTTGACACGTAATATATTATTTTGTTATCCAAATATGGGGCTTCAGGAGTCCCATTATCGCTACCGATATTTTAGAAATTTAAGGATCTTAGCGAGAATCGAGTATTATGTATACCTCGTTTGTATTACGACGCGTTTTATGATTTGGAAGGCATAGATTCATACGACGCGTACATTCAAACGCCTCTTTCGTGCAATGAAAGTGATTTAACGAAAGTTAGCTATGTTTGTTTAAACATTAGATTTTAAAGCAGAAGATAGAGTATTAGAAGGTATCATTAAGAGAAGAAATTCTCATAATTATTAAACAGCTAGAAATAATAAATTTATCAGTAGAATATTTTCAGTTCATATTATCAGTTTAAATACGAATAACGGTGTAAAATTGTATACCTCTACTTTGCAAATGAGCTTTCGATATTTATAAGATAATGTTTTGTTACAGGTAATTGCTCTGGAACGGTCATGGAAGCAGATTGGCGGAAGAATTCATAAGAGTTCTGGAAAAAATCGAGAGTAACAACACAGACTTAATATTCCATAGATCTCTTAAATCACGGATTTCTTTTCGAACTTAATTTAAAATTAAAAACTCGATCGACAAAAACGTTTTGCGATTCAGATACGGATTTTAAGTATATGATAAGCACTCGTAGTAGAAATTAAGTATGTAGGATATTCGCTTCTTGCTAACGTGCGTAAAGTTATGAATTATCTGTAACCCTGAGCGCGACACCGAAATCCTGGACAGAAAAGTCAATAAGATGCAATGTCTGTGCGGATCCTAAGTTTGCGTCGCTGTAACAATCGAATTGTTTATTGGTAAAGACGAGCGCGTCTGATCCTGTAACTCTTCTGTTTTTCCGAATAGAAGCGTTTTAGTTAGGGCGTCCCGTTACAAGATGGCGAATCGGTTTCGATGCTCGTAAAGACGCAATTTTTTCCAAATCCAAATCAAATACGTATTTGCAGATAGTTTTATCTTTAAACAAGCACTCGATTGCAATACTTATACTACCCAAGTGTTAAATATTCTAATTGTTATGTTTGAATATCCTGACACATGGGCCTGAAGTGCCCACGATCTACATTTCAATAACTAATAATAAGTTTTCAAAATCAGAATTGGCCATTATGAAAAATCAATTTTGAGCAGTAATTAATAAGTTGCTTATTTTTTTGAATTGAGTTGAACTAACTAGCAAGTTGCCAAATTATTCAATGATAAGATGTTGCTTCAAATTGCCTTTCAAAGACTTCGTCTGTAAATTCGTTAGGCCTCATTGATTTGAGCTATGTGCGTGAGATCGGGCTTTACCATGGGTACATTCTGATTTGAAAAAAAATGTTCTCGAACTCTGTCGACAAATCGATGAATTGAAATCGATGCCGCGAAGAAATTTGATTTGGATTTTACTGGGTCGCGTCGCGTCGATTTCGCGTTTTTGAGAGAAGCCAAGGCGAAAGATTCGGTCGGTTTAACGGGTCGAAAATTCTGTGCGCACATGTGCGCGCGGTCAAAGCGACGGAGAAACAGGGGATAATGGCAGTATAATGTATAGGTGAGACGGGAATACGTCCGCGGGAGCGGAAGTCGAGCGCACACAATCAGGATCGGAAGTAATTCCGGTGACCGAACACACTGGGATGGCATTGTTAGCCGATCCGCTGAATAATAATTGGCGTTCGGTGCATTTACATGGTCACGATCGTGGAGCGTCAATATCTTTCCGGATGGAATGGAAACGTCACCCGGTGGCTTTGCTCCGTGATATAGCGTTCGTTCAGTATTTGCCGTGGATCTATGCCCGTGACTTCGTCGTCGCTCTCCGCGTACGTATTAACAGTAAATCGAGCCGAATCCTTTTGTTTCTCTGCTCGTGACAGAGACTCGGCGCGCTTCGTTCGTCCCGCGAGATCCAGAATCCGATCCAGTTGACCCGGCTACACAAGTTCCTCCCTCCTTTTAATTGCTCGTTAGATCGTGCAGCAAATCCATCGGAACGTTTCGCCGTGAAAAGAGAGGATCGCGTGTTAAAAAAAAGAAAAAAAAATAGAGACCGGAAACGTAACGATCGTCGGCGTGCAGCTACGGGCGAGCCTGACGGAGACGTATGCACGGAATTCGTCGAGAAAGCGGGGAATGTGCATTCCCGAGGCATGCCTCGAACCGTTCCGAACCAGTTCCGGTTGTTCGAGGACAGAGCCGAGAGCGGAGGCTGCGTGATTTAACGAACGTTTCATATTAAGCCTCGGGAAAATCGATCCCCGGTTTATCGCGTGTCCCAACGATCCTCGCTGGTCCGGCGAAATCAAATTCTACGGGCACGTTCACGCTCGAACGGGCATCGGCTTTCCCAAACGTTTCTGCGTCTCCGGTTCTAGAACCGACTAGCATTGATTTCGCCGGATTATACGCGCGGCCCGAGTCGCGGCCACCGGCGGTTCGTTTATCCGCGCGTGATCCTTGCTTTCCCGGAGGAGGATGGGCTGCTCACCTAGCGGACCTTCGTGCGCGAAGGGCGGCACACGATTAATGGCCACGAAGCTCGCTTTCACCAAGGGTCAGCTGCATAACCTGAACGCATATTTCCGCGGACTGGTCGAGGAGCCTCAAAACGGTGAATGTTTAACGAGTTTCTCCATAAATCTCGGTCGTCGATTCGACACGAGTCGCGGCGAGATTGCGTCGGGGAACAACGCGGCCGGCCGCATATCGAATGCGGGGGCCAATCCGGCCGCAATGCTGTGGGCTATTTGCTCCTCGAAATCGGCGTAGAACACGTTTCGCGTGCGCATTTATAATGACGCAACGGAAAGTAATGCCTCTGTGTTTTCCTACGAACGATTTCCAAATGTTGCGTCCACGTTCGATGCGCGCGTCCGGCGATCGTCTGCTTTGGAATCAGCCTGGACGCAAACGCGGTGTGCCCGTTGTTACAGTAAATGATTTGTTGTTAAAACAACCCTTTTCCCACACATTTTTAATATTCCTTCTTTCATCGAGAAAGAATATTTCGTCGAGATTCCGAACACAGTTTCTTTATCATCTTCTTCTTTCAATCAATATCACCTTCTTTTTGAAATCGATCGAGCTGTTGAAAGAAGATGCCGAAGAAATTGTGTTGAGAATGTTGACGAAAGAAGAAAGACAGAACATCAAAGTTGTGCGAGAAAAATCGAGGTGAAGAGGGTCATTAAAACAACGAAGGACAACCGCCGTCCGTCGATTCGACGCTCGCGTGCCTCCGGTCTTAAACCGATGCGCGACGACCGGAAGGAACGGCGTACAATCGCGTACGATCGTTTGTAAAAATCGGCCGATTATTGGACAACCATGGTTCGCGCGACTTTTCATTTTCGCTGATAGCAGAACGTTGGCCGTGTTACAGATTCCTCGGACGCCACCGCGATCGAAGCTATCGTCGAGAGATTGGTTCAACGTTTGATGCTGGCCGCCGGCAATCTTGACCGGAGATTCTCGTCCGTGTTCCTCGTTTCGCTGAACGAGCCTCGGAGGATGAAGGTAAACGCAGGAGGAGGTGGCCCCCGGGGAACCCGTGACCGCACCGGTCGCGAACTTCCGAAACGAGACGCAAAGAGGCCCCAATCTTTTTCTCTGCGCAGCGGCTCAAGTTCGAATACCTGCTGCGAATAGACGCGCTGTCTACGCCGACCGCGAGCCCCGAGCTGGAGATCTCTGGGGTCAGCGTCGAAGAGGATGCGGCGGCCGGTCTGCCGGGCTTCATTCGGTTGAAGATCCTCGGGCCTGGAGCAAAGCTCTGGCGAGAGTTCACGGACGCTGCCGGGAGATTGAGGAGGGATCTCGTGAAAGCGAAATTAGCAAATTTGTTGGCCGCCGCCATCAAACGAGGTATTTCGCGCGCGACGATCAACCGGCGGATTACGCTCGACGATCCTTGGTATTCGCGCGGTCCTATATTTTCTTTTCTTTTTTTTTTTAGACAACGCCGATTCGGCGAAGATTTGCGGATCACCGGGACGAGTGGTGGACGCCGAGGTGCTCGACAAAATATTGAAGCAGCCGAACCGCTGTCGGATATTTTACGGGCCAGGTAACGTGTTCTTGAATTATCGGGAAACTTAAACGCCGCCGTTAATTAACGGCGATAAAAGGCGCACGATAAATTCCTGCCGCGGATAACGCTGAACGCCTCGAAGCTTCTTCCCATCTTGAGATATTACCGCACGTTTATCTCTGCGGCCAACAAAAGCGGCCCGCTACCGGCGAATCGTAAACAGGAACGAAACGGCCGCCGTCTTGTTATCACTCGGCCCGATTCCTCATTTCGTGGGAACCCTTCCGCTCTCCCTTATCAACGTCGCGCTATCGTCCGGCGTCCCGCGAGCTTCTCGCGTGTCGCCGAACTTACTTCTTCGAGACTTCTCCTCCCCTCGCTCGTCCTCCACTCCTATTCCCGTTCTGCCTTTCCACCCCTTTCGCGCTCGTCTTCGCCTTGTCCCCCTGTTTGTAACCGAAATAACCGATGCGCGGAGCCGGCGCGGTAATTCGATACACACCGAGTGTTCTATAAATCAGAACCGGACGCCCGGGCGGAGTTGCTTTAATAACTACCGCAGAGGATTTCGTGTAACGAGCGCCGCGAAATATGCCCAGTTTCTGTGTAACTGGATTAAAGAACGCCCCGTAAATCAGCCGGAGCACCGTCCCGCGAAATAACGGCCGCGGCTAACGACGCGATTTTTAACAATCCCTGCTTACGGGTCCGGGGAGCACGACCAGCTGCTCGGAGTCGGCCAAAGGCGGATCGCAAATCGCTCGTGGAACTGTTCGCAGCCGTACCGGATGGACCGGTGCCGGAGCCGAGGGATCATCGAGTGGCGCTGATAGAGGACTCCGGAGGTATACTGTTCAGGATAGCGTTGGACGAGTGCAAGTCTCGCGAGGTGGAGGTCCGGTTGCTAATCGGCATAGGGCTGTCCTCTTGGCCCAGTTCCGCCGACTATCCCCGGAGAGTGCCCCTCTATCACTGCGACGCTCTTCTTCATTACACCGCCGCGCAAAGCGTAAGTGCAACACGGGCGCTGCGTCTGAAGATCTCTGCTCCCGGCTTGCTCCTTAGATCCGCGAATTCGTATTATCTCATGTCCTCGTTTCCCCGTCGTCGTTCCAGGGCATGTACGCCGTGGCCATTGGACCGTACCCCGGCGCGCGCTGCGAAGACCGAGCAACTCTCTGGGGAATACGTGTTCCAGCAGCGGAGAAAATTATGAGTCAACACTACGCCGCCGACAGTGTACCCGGCTTGACGGAGTCGGTGCTCATAGAAATCTTGCACCAGCTGCGCGAGGGACTCCCATTCAATCCTACAAAGTCGAAGGTGGGATCAACGGCTGTCCGAGATACGCTAAATAATCCCGCGGCCTCCGCCGCCCGCGTCTTCGACACTCTTTCCATCTTCTCTCGGAAAGTTTGCTCCGCGTTCCGCTTCCAGCACGACAAATGCACCTCCTCCCGATGGATTTTATGTGGTCGATGCAGTCCGCCGTATCATTTATTTCCGTTTCTCGAGCGCGGAACTGCTCCCCGCCCCCCTGGGTCACTCTCTTTGACGTCTCCATCTGCGGGAATATTCGACGCGACCATGATTCAACGCTTCTATGATACAGCTTACCCGGGTCGCGACGTCTTAAAGACGTCCATTTTACGGTCATCCTAGGTCTGAACGTACTACGACCTGAAATGGACGTCGATAGGACGCCTGATCTCGTTGAAACGACTTTCAGCTCGGGACGTCTTTAACGAGTGGTAGAAATGTTCTGAGATGGACGCCTGGAATAAGATGTCTCAGAAACGTCCCGAGACAGACGTCCTGGATAAGAAGTCTTAAGGACGTCCCTCGAAACTGATGTCAGAAATAAGAAGCCTTAAAGACGCCTCGAACCGAACGTCCGAATTAAGACGTCTCAAAGATCTCTCGAAACAGGCACCTCGAAGACTGTGTCTCTGCGCTGTCTGGTAATCGTGTCCTGCGCCGCGCATCTCTCGGGCCTATTTCTCGAAACACGGCCGCTCCCCGTTTTCCTCGCGTCGTCCACCGATCCCCTGGCGATCCCGGTGTCTCGGCGTCGCCGCTGAAACCTCGTTCTCTCCGAGGCCCGGCTATTTAATAAAAACGCAGCCGCTGGATGCGGCTCGGCAATAATTTATCCGGCCGGCCTCGGTAACCGAACACGCAGCTCCGGTGAATACATAATGAGAAAAGTTGAATCGATTTGAAAAATTTCCATCTCGCCGCGGCAGTGGCCACCCTCTATCCGACTTCCGGTTTCGTCGGGCCGGCACCCTCCGCGCGGGCGAAACGAGTCTTTTCCTGTCGCCGGGCGGGCGACTGCTGTTGGAACGGCCGTTCTATTATTTCAAATTAAGCATTCGACGGTTCGACGGGAATATTGATCCTCTGTTTTTCGACAGGCCAGGAAGGGAGATCGTGGCCCGCAGGACCGGCTGAGAGTGGTCTCGAGGCAGATCATGAGGACGATGCATCGCTGGTCTCTGGAACGGGCCGGGCCGGATCCGTTGACTAGCTGGGCTCCCGATACCCTCGCGCGGCACGTTCTACTGGCGCTAGACGAGATAGTCACCGCTTTGAAATGCCAGAACCTGAGGTGTTATTTCCTACCGCGGTGCAACGCGATGCTACAATGCGCGCGAGGTAATTCGGTTTGCGGCGCGGAACAGAGAGATCGGGACGGTGGCGCGTGGTCTTTTGTTTCAGCCGCGTGACTCATCCTCCTTTTCGTCGTTATTTTTTACCCATAGGACAATCGATATCACGGTGACATGCACACATCGACGCGTACGCGCCGACGGCCCGCGGGATCGTCTCGTTTCCATGGAAATCCTTAATTGGTGACGATAACGACGCGTACCATTATCGCGAACCTATCGGCAATTTGTGCGCGCGTCCATAAGCCGGCCCGCGATACACCTCGATAGATATCTCATCAGCATTTTTCAACCCGCCGTCCTCCGATCCTTCGCGCGATCCGCGGACACGCCCTCCCGCCGTGCCTCGCAATTTAATCCAACGCGGACGACTGTCCGCGGTCAGCGGTCCGTGCATTTTTAGCGTTCAGAACCTCGAGCTACGTACCGTTTGTTCTGTAAAGATGAAACAAATTGTGACGATGTCGGGTGGTACATTGGGATACAAGCGAAACACGAAATGTACACATGAGATTGCGCGTTTCGATAGACACGTCCAATTTGAGAAACAGATTGCGGTAGTCAATTGTAACGGATAGGGTATGTAGATCCGCGGTATGTAGATCGAGCCGATCAATATTTCCGCACGTACTGCGTCACGCGGAAATCGCACGAGTGGCGGAGACAAGTGTTTTTTGACGTCTCGAAATGCGTCGTTGCTTCCTCGAATATTGGAAATTCTTGTGTCGAATTTAGTGACGCCTTCTTAATATTATTTCGAATGTTAATATCAGGGGGACCAGAAAGTAATGTCGTTTCTGCGCATATTTATCTGTTTGAATTTAATGTAAACAAACGACATAACTTTCCGGTCCCCCTAATATAATCAAATTGCTTATATTTAACTGTCGCACGAGTCGCAAAATTCAATTTCATACGTACAAAATGCACTAGGTTATATAATATGGAAACATCGTAGGTCGGAAAAACTATATTCTATCTCGAGTTAAAATGTCTGCGACTGCAAAGGGTTAATGAATAGGGGTTGTTCCAGCTTTCTTAGTACACGCAAGAACTCTCCACGAACAGAGTCCCGTCTGCGAAACGTTGATAGCGTCGCGACTCGATCCTCGGAATTCGTTCCCCGCATCTGACCGAGTTGCTTCTATTTCACAGGTGGCATTGTGCATCACGAGGACTTCTACGCTTCNTTTGAAAAATTTCCATCTCGCCGCGGCAGTGGCCACCCTCTATCCGACTTCCGGTTTCGTCGGGCCGGCACCCTCCGCGCGGGCGAAACGAGTCTTTTCCTGTCGCCGGGCGGGCGACTGCTGTTGGAACGGCCGTTCTATTATTTCAAATTAAGCATTCGACGGTTCGACGGGAATATTGATCCTCTGTTTTTCGACAGGCCAGGAAGGGAGATCGTGGCCCGCAGGACCGGCTGAGAGTGGTCTCGAGGCAGATCATGAGGACGATGCATCGCTGGTCTCTGGAACGGGCCGGGCCGGATCCGTTGACTAGCTGGGCTCCCGATACCCTCGCGCGGCACGTTCTACTGGCGCTAGACGAGATAGTCACCGCTTTGAAATGCCAGAACCTGAGGTGTTATTTCCTACCGCGGTGCAACGCGATGCTACAATGCGCGCGAGGTAATTCGGTTTGCGGCGCGGAACAGAGAGATCGGGACGGTGGCGCGTGGTCTTTTGTTTCAGCCGCGTGACTCATCCTCCTTTTCGTCGTTATTTTTTACCCATAGGACAATCGATATCACGGTGACATGCACACATCGACGCGTACGCGCCGACGGCCCGCGGGATCGTCTCGTTTCCATGGAAATCCTTAATTGGTGACGATAACGACGCGTACCATTATCGCGAACCTATCGGCAATTTGTGCGCGCGTCCATAAGCCGGCCCGCGATACACCTCGATAGATATCTCATCAGCATTTTTCAACCCGCCGTCCTCCGATCCTTCGCGCGATCCGCGGACACGCCCTCCCGCCGTGCCTCGCAATTTAATCCAACGCGGACGACTGTCCGCGGTCAGCGGTCCGTGCATTTTTAGCGTTCAGAACCTCGAGCTACGTACCGTTTGTTCTGTAAAGATGAAACAAATTGTGACGATGTCGGGTGGTACATTGGGATACAAGCGAAACACGAAATGTACACATGAGATTGCGCGTTTCGATAGACACGTCCAATTTGAGAAACAGATTGCGGTAGTCAATTGTAACGGATAGGGTATGTAGATCCGCGGTATGTAGATCGAGCCGATCAATATTTCCGCACGTACTGCGTCACGCGGAAATCGCACGAGTGGCGGAGACAAGTGTTTTTTGACGTCTCGAAATGCGTCGTTGCTTCCTCGAATATTGGAAATTCTTGTGTCGAATTTAGTGACGCCTTCTTAATATTATTTCGAATGTTAATATCAGGGGGACCAGAAAGTAATGTCGTTTCTGCGCATATTTATCTGTTTGAATTTAATGTAAACAAACGACATAACTTTCCGGTCCCCCTAATATAATCAAATTGCTTATATTTAACTGTCGCACGAGTCGCAAAATTCAATTTCATACGTACAAAATGCACTAGGTTATATAATATGGAAACATCGTAGGTCGGAAAAACTATATTCTATCTCGAGTTAAAATGTCTGCGACTGCAAAGGGTTAATGAATAGGGGTTGTTCCAGCTTTCTTAGTACACGCAAGAACTCTCCACGAACAGAGTCCCGTCTGCGAAACGTTGATAGCGTCGCGACTCGATCCTCGGAATTCGTTCCCCGCATCTGACCGAGTTGCTTCTATTTCACAGGTGGCATTGTGCATCACGAGGACTTCTACGCTTCCGACTGTCGACTGTTGGAAACATACCTGGGGACGCTACACCATCGTTCTCTATCTCCGGGTCAAGCCGTGCCTAGACCACTGGAGGCTATGGAGACGGAGTTGATCGTCAGGTGGCGAGACATCGTGTTTTCCTTGCCGAGGGGCACACCGGACGCAGACTACGGCTACAGCTCCAGACAATTGGAATACCTCGGCTTGATCTTGGAGCAGGTGCTGCAGGCTAGAGACTTCACCGCGCAGGTAGCTTATCGCCGGCTGCGCCGTGGCAGGTAGCACGAACGGAAGAGTATCTTCTGCTTCTGACCGCAGGACTTCTCCGATAACTCTTCGTACCTGAACTTCCCCGAGTGCGGCTTTCACACGAGCGAGCGAGTGGAGAGCCTCGTGTTCCTGCTGAAGCTGGTGCTCACGCAGGCCAAGGATCAGATTCGCGCGATGACCAATCGACGAGCGAGGCGGCGAGAACGCCCCGGAGACTCGAAGAAGGGGAGGCACTGCAACACGAGCAGCCAGTTCGATCGATCCGTCGGTCTCTTGATCGACGAGGTTAGAGCCGACAGAGAGACCGCCAACGCGGACCTGGACTCTCGTCCGGTGATGGCGAAGACGCTGCTACAGTGGCTGTACTTCGGTGAGCTTAAATGTAATTAACGTTCGAACTACCGGGCACTGGTTAATTATTATTGTTCAAGGCATGGACTACGACCCGAAGTACTTGGAGCCGGTGTTGCGGCCATATCTGAGCACCCTCTTCTACAGTCTCCACGAGAACTGCTGGTACGCGTCGAGCTGGAGAAGCAAGCAGGAGGCTTACAACACCGAGATGCGTTCCCTGTCCGCGTTCTGCGAGTCCGTCCTGTCCCAGGAAATCACCCCCGCTCTAGGAATCGTGGAATTCTTGTCGAAGGGGTGGCGCTGGGCGGAGAGCATGACAAAGATGATCGAACGTTCCGGGAACTCTTTGAGGCTGATCCTGCTGGCCGGGGACAAGGAGCTGAGGTACAACCTGACGTTCGCCGAGAACAAGGGGCCGAGCGCGTTCTCCACGTGGAGCAAGGCCAGGAGCGTGAACACGATCGCCAGGAGAAAAAGGACGAGCTTCCAAGCCAGCGAGATTCTCGATTCCCTGTCGGAGTACCGGGTCGCCCGCTGCGAGACCAAGGGTGAGCGGAAGAATGCGATGCTTCTCGATCGTGTAGGTTCGGCCGGTCCGAGCGGATCGATAACGGATAGGGAGGGTGGCGTGAGAAACGAGGCGGTAGAGCAACGCGCGAGTAATTACAGCGGCCGCGAGAGCTCCGTTAAATCAAGTATTAAGATATAAACTTGAGCAAAGACTCCGGAGGAGCTTCCGGTGGCACTCTCGGTCCCGTTGTGCTCGCCGGAAACTTGTCGCGACGTAATAAGGCGCTCCGGGCGGCTGCGGGTTCTGCTTCGGGTTCGGGCTCCGAGTTTCGGGAATTAATTAGATCCGCCGGTTCCACGGGAACTCCGGGGGAAAAAAGGCCGCCGGTTTCCCGGGCAGTTCGCCGAAAACATCCCGGCGTTCCCGCGACTGATAACACGGGAAGAAATCAATTATTTCCGGAGCCGTGCGGGAAACGAGCACGCGTGCCCGGCTATCCGAGGCTGCGGGGCACCCCGACCGTCGGGGGAAAAAAATTCCCCCGCGATATTTTCCCGATACATATACATCGTACGGCGTCGGTCTTCTGTTTCACCGGCCCGCAAAAAAAGGTTAATTACCTCGCGGATCGACGCGCGTAGCTTCCTGCTCGTAAAATCGCCGGGCAGGATCAATCTCCGGGCGAAGAAGAAGATGAGGCGTGGGCGAAGGCTGGAGGCTTCCACTCCTGCGCGTTTTCCTTGAAGCGGGGTTCGCCGTTCGATAAAGATTTACGGGACTGTATCACGGGAGCGTATCGTCTCGGGGAGCTTCTGGAGCTTTTGGCTCGCGACTTCACCAGCCCCAGAGACCCGACGCTATCTCCGGCTCAGAACCGTCGCGTTATCGGCTGCGGGCTGGCCTACGGCTGGCCAGCCGGCAACTATCGAGCGAAATCCTTCCCCAGGAATAGTCCTATTGTTGCGGTATCGGTTATACGTGCCGTGCAACGACTGACCGGCGTCGTTTTATTACTTCGAAAATATCGTAAACCGGGATTCCCGACGGCCGCAGCCCCAGCGTACGGGAACTCCCGATGGAGCGTCGTTCGATCGAACGACACCTTTTAACCCTTTCGTTGTTGGCTACTTTCCGAAATGAACAAGCGAATTGCCTGAGATTTTAATTCGAACGTTGAACCTACCGAGCCGGTCGATACGGCCGGCCTCTCATTCTTTGTTTTACGAGTCGTTTCAATTGCTGAAATTATTGTTATTGTTATTTATCGATAAACGGCCTGGGAGTCCTTTTGTATATGTAAATTGTTTGTACACAGGACGTTGTATGGAGGACGTTTAAAGGTTTAAGGAGACAATTTCGTGGAAAATCATTGAACAAATGTCTTAATCCATAAAATTGTCGAAAGGGCTAAAGAAGTACAGCTTTTTGTCGCAACGGACGTTGGTTGCTTTTAGGGCTCGGTAGGTTTAGCGTGAACTCATTTGCATCTTCCAACGAAATTTAATGTTAGGAATTAGATAGTCGAATAACAATATTTATACTCTGGGTCCGAACGGGCCCGAGACCAGCCGTTATTTCGCTAAAATGCCGTACGAAAATGAGAATTCGCAGTTACCGGCAAACGGTGACCAGTGATCGTAAGCATTTTCCGGAGAAGGTTAAGCGTATGCGTTTACACGCCGATGATACGAACGGATTAATTTAATGCACACGATCGCCGCCAGCATTTCTCAGGCATCCCGCGGGACGCGGGCGAGACGAGAGGGTTAAGATTTCAGTGCGCGCTCCGGCACTCGCAACCCTCGGCGAACCGCGATTGCACATAGAATAACGGGTGGTCGCATTAAAGATTGAGGCTGCGGTGTTCGTGGAGGACGGCTAAACGCGCACGGAAGGGATGAAGATTTACGCCGGTGTCTGCGCGGAGGACATCATAGGTAACGGGGACCGTAAAACTCGAGCCGGAAACGCCTCGGGCGATAGATCAACCGTGGAAGCTGCTCCAAAAGAGCGGTTCGGGCGGCGCGTTTTAAATCAACGTCGTGCCGGCGTCGGTGACGCAGGCAAATTTCAGCCCCGTATCCGGACCCGTAGCCGGGCTCCCGAGGGACGTTTACGCGAGTTCGCGGCGGCAAAATCAATAATCTTGTTAGGTGTTGCAGGCCACGCGGAGCTGAGGGACGCCAGCCCTTTGACGTACGTCGCGTCAATGAGCAGGCAGCGGGCTCGACACCGTGGGCCGGGCGACTTGGTCCTGGCCATGGTCTCCCTCGGCAAGTTCAGGGTAAGTTTCAGATCCGACCATCTTCGGCCGGTGGCCGTCGCCGGTCTCCGTTTCACTTTGCACGCCGTTCTACTTAACGCGCCGTCGCTTCTTCCGGCTCCCGGGTTCGTTCCGCTTTTGTTTTCCGCCGCCGTCGCCACCGCCGCCGGCGTAATTAATTCGAATCTCGGCGGACAGTTAAAAGTCATTTAGGGCGATCAAATAGGGCGATGATCCCCGGCAGAACGCTCCTCCGTCGACCGCGATGAAAAATTGCACCGCCGCAAGAATAATCGGAGAATCCGCCGGAATATTCTTCGCGTTGCGGCGGGGGACCCAGAGATTTCTTTTTTGCCGAGGAGCAAATTTCCCAGTGTTTGGCGGGGCTGGGGGTGAAAAGATTAAGCGGACCAAAGAAGCAAAGGTAGACGGAGTTCGTTAACTCTCGCCGTGCACCGCTTTACCATGGAAATCGATTCGTTTAGCATGCTACCTGCGGTTCCTCGCACCTGCCGGCTTAACGATATCAGTTTCAAACGACGACCAACGCCGAATAAACACCGGCCCGATACACCGCCGAGTTCGCGGCGTCGACGCGGACGCGAATATCCTCTCGTGTTGTCGCAGTTTCGATCATCTTGGCCGGTATATCATTGCGGGCCGCGGCGGGTTCGATGGTCGATTATTTGTCGGAGCAATTTCCGCGGTGAAACTCGCATACCCGGACGCTCGCTCCCGTCCCGCTGTTCGCCGGTCGGAGTTTCGGCTCCGCTTTCATTCCGTGCCGCAGACACCGGGGCCAGCTTAATTACACACGGTTCGTGGCAGTTTCATTAGATTAGACGAGCACAGATTTCCGACGCGGCCGCGCGGATGCGAGCGCGGAACGCGCGCCGCGGACGCGTTTCGAGCAGGCAATTTCGTGCGGGGACGGTAATTTCGCGGGGTCGTCCGCCGGGAAGGGAACGTCGAACCGGCGAGCGTCGCGACGCCGGCTTCGACGACAATAATATCGATGCAACCGGCTCGAAGGAAACCGCCGCCGCGTCCCGGAGTTCCCGCAGTTCCCGACGATCCGCTTCATCCCCTAACGCGCCACCTATTATACGGCCGCTTGTATAATCGGCTAGCAGTCGATTTAACAGCCCCGCTGATAACCGCCTCGTGGCCCCTGCCAACGGTCTTTATCAATTTTCTCTGAAATCCCCGATCGTCCCTTCGGGGTTCCTCCGCCGGACAAATTCGCTGCGACAAAGTCCCGCGGACCCGCAAACCCGCCGATCGAACGCTTCTTAATTACCAGATGGATACACTTTGAATTTTTTGTCCCGGTCGGAGAATATTAGCAGCTATTTTAGCGTCTCTTTCTCGCGTTTCTTCTGCTAGATCGAAGAACTTGACGTCAGTGTTCCGTTGTATGACAGAATCTTTATAAATCAAGCGAGGAAATATGATGTCCTCGATTCAAACATTGCTATCCACGTCCCTGGGAAGACGAAGCTTGCCAGATGTGGATAACTCAGGGACCGAAGGCCCAAAGAAATAGCTTATTTTATACACTTGGACAAAACAACCGAAATTCCAGGCCACCCCTATTAAGCAATTTCGTTAAAAGCCGTTTCCGTCTTCTACTCAAGTGTTTCTTTTATGATCCACAGTTGGTCACCAAATGTCATTTCTCAGTCGTTTTCTTTATGGTATGCATGTTCCACCGAGAAAAGGCCTTTTCCGGACTATTGTTTGCTACGGCTAATTCTTGGGACACTCGGATTCTTCGTGTGCGTCACCCGAGGGTACGAGCACTACCTGCGGATGACCCTTAGTTTGGGACGGTCACTTTCATAATTTTGCAAACCAATCAGTCAGGACGACCGTTTCCCTCACACCTCGCAAGAATTGAATAATCCACGAATCCGACTATCTCAATTTTAGAACACACTCACACCGAGTTTACCTCCGAGAACACACAACACACAACAGGCAGTCTACCATCAACCCGAACGCAAAATAGTCTATTTGCTAAAAAATTTGCTCTGAATCGGTGTTAAGTTTAATATTCAAATATATTACAAGTTAAAGAAAAAAAAAAGGAAACACAGCTTATTATCCCTATCATCTTAAAAGATCGTAGGGAACCGCGTATATCAAATACGCGGAAAAACAGTTAAGTCTATATTAAAATCCATTCTGTCGATTATGTCCATCGCAGAATTTGTCGAATCAGTTTCTATTTAAAAGCGATCGATTTGTAAAGCTAATGCATCCTGCTAAATTGTAAATTCAAATGGTTCGATTTTATCGAAGCTTCTTTTAATAAGTAAAAGCTAATCGAGATTATTTTCTGCTAGGCGCACGGTGGTCCCAATTCTTGTAAACGNTTTATGATCCACAGTTGGTCACCAAATGTCATTTCTCAGTCGTTTTCTTTATGGTATGCATGTTCCACCGAGAAAAGGCCTTTTCCGGACTATTGTTTGCTACGGCTAATTCTTGGGACACTCGGATTCTTCGTGTGCGTCACCCGAGGGTACGAGCACTACCTGCGGATGACCCTTAGTTTGGGACGGTCACTTTCATAATTTTGCAAACCAATCAGTCAGGACGACCGTTTCCCTCACACCTCGCAAGAATTGAATAATCCACGAATCCGACTATCTCAATTTTAGAACACACCCACACCGAGTTTACCTCCGAGAACACACAACACACAACAGGCAGTCTACCATCAACCCGAACGCAAAATAGTCTATTTGCTAAAAAATTTGCTCTGAATCGGTGTTAAGTTTAATATTCAAATATATTACAAGTTAAAGAAAAAAAAAAGGAAACACAGCTTATTATCCCTATCATCTTAAAAGATCGTAGGGAACCGCGTATATCAAATACGCGGAAAAACAGTTAAGTCTATATTAAAATCCATTCTGTCGATTATGTCCATCGCAGAATTTGTCGAATCAGTTTCTATTTAAAAGCGATCGATTTGTAAAGCTAATGCATCCTGCTAAATTGTAAATTCAAATGGTTCGATTTTATCGAAGCTTCTTTTAATAAGTAAAAGCTAATCGAGATTATTTTCTGCTAGGCGCACGGTGGTCCCAATTCTTGTAAACGTGGCCGGAATCTTTAAAAATGAATTTTCTCGTAGGATAGGATTTCAACCCTGCAGCTTCTTTCGGAAGATATTTTATCGAATTCTGTGAAATTCTCCCTAATTAACGCTCAGATTTTGCACAAAAATAGACAATTTACAAAGCTCGGATAATCTCTTCTTCCCAAATTGCCCATTTTCGTGTACAATCTGATCGTCAATTAGAGAGAATTTACTATCTTTATGCGAGTAGCTTTCACCACGTTTCTTACGAATATTACGAACAGTGGGCTGTGTGAAAAGCTACTAGATTTTTGCCGAGAGGATGATTACTATTACACAAGGATGCCGAAAAAAGAGAAANGACCCTTAGTTTGGGACGGTCACTTTCATAATTTTGCAAACCAATCAGTCAGGACGACCGTTTCCCTCACACCTCGCAAGAATTGAATAATCCACGAATCCGACTATCTCAATTTTAGAACACACTCACACCGAGTTTACCTCCGAGAACACACAACACACAACAGGCAGTCTACCATCAACCCGAACGCAAAATAGTCTATTTGCTAAAAAATTTGCTCTGAATCGGTGTTAAGTTTAATATTCAAATATATTACAAGTTAAAGAAAAAAAAAAGGAAACACAGCTTATTATCCCTATCATCTTAAAAGATCGTAGGGAACCGCGTATATCAAATACGCGGAAAAACAGTTAAGTCTATATTAAAATCCATTCTGTCGATTATGTCCATCGCAGAATTTGTCGAATCAGTTTCTATTTAAAAGCGATCGATTTGTAAAGCTAATGCATCCTGCTAAATTGTAAATTCAAATGGTTCGATTTTATCGAAGCTTCTTTTAATAAGTAAAAGCTAATCGAGATTATTTTCTGCTAGGCGCACGGTGGTCCCAATTCTTGTAAACGTGGCCGGAATCTTTAAAAATGAATTTTCTCGTAGGATAGGATTTCAACCCTGCAGCTTCTTTCGGAAGATATTTTATCGAATTCTGTGAAATTCTCCCTAATTAACGCTCAGATTTTGCACAAAAATAGACAATTTACAAAGCTCGGATAATCTCTTCTTCCCAAATTGCCCATTTTCGTGTACAATCTGATCGTCAATTAGAGAGAATTTACTATCTTTATGCGAGTAGCTTTCACCACGTTTCTTACGAATATTACGAACAGTGGGCTGTGTGAAAAGCTACTAGATTTTTGCCGAGAGGATGATTACTATTACACAAGGATGCCGAAAAAAGAGAAAATGTCGACAACTTTTAGAGAACTCTTGATGATTTTATGAAACTGCGAGAGGGTTGATAAATGGATATGTCCACGCAGACTGTTATTTAATCGAACGCTGTTAACAGCAATTTGTTCTAACATCGGGAAGCACATTTAGCCGGCAGGAAGGTTCGAAAACTGGTTATATTGGCTGAAAATCGGAGGACAAGTGGGAGAAATTGGAAATCGTTGGGAGCGTCACTGTATTTATTCCGCTACTTCGGGCATCTGCGTTTCCGCGAACGATAGGGCGAGAGGGCGGGAGAGGGAGACAGAAAGAGAAAAAGAGAGAGAGAGAGAGAGAAAGAGAGAGAGAGAGAGAGTGAGAGTTGGAATCGAAGTTGAATCTCGGCTGAGATGGGTGGAGGAACAACGGGAAAAATTCAACGAACCGTCGTCGCAGCGTGTTTGCCTGGCTTTGGCGTGTGCAGGGCTCGCATGCGACTCTGGTCGCGCGCGCGCGCGTGCATGTGTATGACGAAGGAACGTTTATCTCCCTCCAGGAGACTTCTTCCTTGACAACGCGAATTAAACGTCGCTCGCACGTCTCCGCCGAGAAAACCGGCTCTCTCTCTTTCTCTCTCTCTCTCTCTTTCTGTGTGTATGTGTCCCTGTATCGCGGTCTCCCCCCTCGCATAAATCTCCG